TGGGTTGGGCTTTCATCGATGGTTTTCTTTGCTTTGTCATTTTTGGTCAATTTGGCATCCACACTTCATTATCAACGCTCTGACCCCACAAATTCGATCTGGGGTGCTGTTCTGAACTGCTACAGTACAACAACAATGATTGAATGAAGATAGAAACGAAATGAAAAGGATGATCAGCATGTGTCGCTGTATATAATCAGGAGGCTAATCAAATGAGACAGCCCGGTGGAAACAGAAACCAGAACCCACACAGCCGACCAACTAACCAGCCGTCCGATCACCTCAACCACCACACAATACACAGCCGGATTGTACGCCACCTGTACCGGTGGAAAGGCAGTAGGCAGCCACGGGAAAGGGATGATTGAGTGGACGCTAGATGGCGGGAATAAAAACACGGCGCCGAAACTGGAAAACGATTTCAAACGGAGTAAGCGCGAGAAAAGGACATTTCTACTGGGGTAACCCTTAGCGGAGGATGACTTTTGAAAACGAACTGAAAAAATGATGTAAAATGAATAGAATGAAGAAAATTAGCCGAAGAATGAGCATAAAATAGATGAGATAAGCGACTAGATGGATATTATTTCACCACTGCTAGGAAGAGGTGGAAGATCCCTCCTGTTGCTGTTTCAAGTTCAACAAAAGGAGTCGTATTTGGAGCTTTTGGGTAGAGGAAGAAATACGCTGTGTGGAGGATTTGTATAGGAATTGCCTTTGTAATAGTTGTATCGACCCCCTGCCGTCCCTAAACTTTCACCTTTCTTGCAAGCCTTTTTTTCGAAATTTTAGCGGCAGGATCGACACCAACAACCCTTTGGGGTGGAAGCCGTATGGAGGACTTCTCGAAGAGTCGTAAAAATTTCATTCTGCACAACCGGTGGTTTATCCACTTCCCTTGCGCAGGCCCGGAATCAAATTTAATCCTCTCCTCTGAAATGTTCTTAAAGGAATCTTCCACGGAAAAAGCTCCGCCCTCATTACCACAGAAAACGATACCTTAAAGGAATCTTCCACGGAAAGAGTGATCATTTTGTCTTGTGTGTAGGATTAGTATTATCGAAACTAACGCTTATGTTCCGTTCTTTTTGCTATGCTCATGAGGCTAGGGGCCTAAGGGGTATCGTTTTTCTGTGGTAATGGAGGCGGAGCTTTTTCCGCGGAAGATTCCTTTAAATACATTTCAGAGGAGAGGATTAAATTTGATTCCGGGCCTGCGCAAGGGAAGTGCATAAACCACCGGTTGTGCAGAATGAAATTTTTACGA